ATGCTTCAAAGGGTTTAAAAGAATTGGTTGGAGCATATTTTAATCCTTTACTTAAAACAGAAATCTGTGCTGCATTTAAGATTTTATTGGATAGGTTAAAAATGCCAACATCTGATTCTTTTTGGGTATTTTTTATCTTTCTAGTCTCTCTTTTTTGCTCTCTTCTGCCACTCCGTTTGCCTCTGGACTTAGAGTTCTTTTTTTGGCTCTTGTGGGATATGGTGTATTGATGAAAGTGTTGGGATGTGTTTGAATCTCTAAAAAATGGTCATCATTCTCAATTTCAGAGTCAAGGGACAGTAATTGGTATCTGTTAGTGTGTGTGATAGGAGTTTCAGAATGATTTTGATAAAAGGTATTGGATTGATGTGCTTTCAGTGAATGTCGGTTAGTGTCTGGACTCCGTCCATTATAATAACGATTAGAAGAATCTTGAAAGTTGGAAGTATTATATTGTGTCTTCCTTGACGTGTATGATGATGGGTGGTGATGAGAAGAGGAGGCATAGTGAGGGTTGTAATTTTTATAGTGAGGTCTGGGTTTGTGAGGGGAGTGATGGAAAGGTTTATGAGAGATAGAGGAGTGATTTTTAGTGGCATACGTAGATTCATATCGTGCATTGCGTGTAAGGACTTTTTGGTTTTGACGAGATTCTATTCTTAAATTATCATGTAGATTATCAGCCGTATATCTTTTGTTTAGATGGTAGGTTCTAACCTGTCTGTTAGCATAATCTTGCTTGTCTCTGACATATTTTTTAACTTTAATATGCTTTGTGATCATACCACCCATGCGTTAAATAGAGTGCAGAAAGGACTGCACTCTGCTTGTGAGTATATTTTATTTTCTTTTAACTCCTTTTACCAAATATTCCATCAGAGAGCACTATTTGCTGTTTTTCTCTCTTTCTGAGAATTGGATACCGGCACTCCCCAGGAGGAAAAGCACCCCTATAAGCGGAGGGTTGTCCGCTGTATGCCCATCAAACTAGAGCTAGTCCTAGCTCATGGAAATGTGAGTGCAAAATCTATATTTTATATTCACTACCACTTATTTATACTATCTGCACGATTGGTTTTCTCTCCCATTGTGTCTTTCATATCGTGAGACGGACAACTGAAATCAAAGGAGACACTACACCAGTTTGGACAATATTGGAACTTTCTTGTATTACTGTCACTAATCTGACTGGGACTTTGTTTCATTATTATATATTTTTTTTTTTTTATTCTATTAGGCGCAGCCTTTTCTGTGTTTTCTTACACATAGACACACTCTGCATCCACACACTGTATTCACTAAACACTACATCCACTACACACACTCTGCATTCACTACACACACTACATCCACTACACAAACACACACTCTGCATTCATTATATACATCGCATTTAATACACACAAACACTACATGCACTACACAAATACACACTCTGCATCTAATATACACCTCATACATTACACAAATGTACAATCTGCATCCACTATACACACTGCATCCGTTAAACACACACCGCATTCACTTAACACACAAACTCTGCATCCACTACACACATTCTACATCCACTATACACACACCAGAATCAGTACAGACACTGCATCCCTGTGGGCAGACTCGGTGGGGGGGGGGCAGCACTTTGGGCGGACTCGGGTGCAGGCACCGGGGGGCCCAGACCTTGAGCTGTGTCAGGGGCCCCAAAATTTCTGATGGCAGCCCTGGTCTAATCTATCTTATTTAGCCTCAGTTAAAACTAATATTTCCAGCTATTTAGTCTTCAACCCCTTAACTCCCATCAAATACACTGATTTGGCTGAGATTGTACCACCTCACTGTCCTTACGACTGTGCTATTGATCTCTTGTTTCATACCAGCCCTCCTAGAGGAAGAACGTATTCCCAAATGGCCGCAAAAAATAAAGCAATAGGGGACTGTGGCGGACCCTGTCCTTGTACCCTTACTGTTCCATAAAAGACTTATTCACTGTTCCCCTGGTTCAGTACTTTCCCTTCTACCGAGCATTTGGCCGAACGCACCCTCCCTGGCAAATGGTAGCCATTTTGGCTACCAAACGACCCCAGCGGTATTTATTCGCGAACTTCATGGAGCTCTTTACGGCCACTTGACCACGCGGTCCCGGTCTACTTGTCTTCCTGTTTTGTCCCACTTGCCAGGGGAGCGCTATTTGGAGGGAAGGTACTACAGACTCTCTAGAACAATTGCTCCCAGAGAATCAGGGAGAGTGCTCTTTTGTTTAGCCGCAGGAGATCCCGATATTTGACCGGCGAAAGCCACTTTCGCGCTGGAACTATTTTGGGCTTAGTCCTTGTGTGCGGCCAGTCAAAACTTTACCGCAGTGGCGATTGGACAATTCATTTTGGATCTGGGCGCTATTTTACCAATTTGGGTGCTCAGACGAGAGATATATCCAAGGATATAAGATATGTGGAGTTCCTGTGTGCTTTTACTGTGTTTTGGGGTGTTTTATGTTTCATGTTCAGCACCCTGTATTCGGGAGATAATTAGTTTACCAGTCGGCAACACAATTATCTCCCGGACACATATGCGGCTGGGCGGGATCACTGTGTAAAGGAATGGAGACCCCATGCTGGGGGTCTATGCATAAAAGGCTGCATTCAAAGCAATAAACTCAGTTGACTCCCAGAACTATGTTTCATCTGGTTACTGGGGGGAAGAGAGCTATATTCACACATGGTTCCAGTCTGGCTGAGAGGAGAGTTTAGCGGAGGTAACCAGTTGGGTTACCAAGGGTCCGCTGCAGAGACTATGTTTCAAAAGCTCTAGGCAAAGGATTGATATACAAATCATCCTCTCCAGCAGGGGCATGTTATTTCTTTGTAGAAAATAATGGGTAGAGGAGGGGCAAAACCCATGCACTGACTATTCAGGTCTAAATAAAATCACTATCAAGAATACCTATCCTGTCGCCCATATCCCATCATAAGTTATTCAATAAGATCAAGGAATCTAAGGATTTTACTAAATTAGATCTCAGAGGAGTCTACAACCTTGTGAGGATTAAGTAAGGTAATGAATGGAAGACAGTGGGCATTATGAATTTTGGTCTTTTAATGCCCAAGCCATCTTCCAAGCATTAAACAATACAGTCAGGTGCATGAATATTAGGACATTGACACAATTCTAATCTTTTTGGCTCTATACACCACCACAATGGGTTTGAAATGAAACAAACAAGACTTTCAGCTTTAATTTGAGGGTATTTACATCCAAATCAGGTGAACGGTGTAGGAATTACAACAGTTTGTATATGTGCCTCCCACTCCCACCATATGTGCCTCCCACTCCCACCAAAAGTAATGGGACAGATTAACAGTCATATATCAAACTTTCACTTTTTAATACATGGTTGCAAATCCTTTGCAGTCAATTACAGCCTGAAGTCTGGAACGCATAGACATCACCAAATGCTGAGTTTCATCCCTGGTGATGCTCTGCCAGGCCTCTACTGCAACTGTCTTCAGTTCCTGCTTGTTCTTGGGGCATTTTCCCTTCAGTTTTGTCTTCATCAAGTGAAATGCATGCTAAATCAGATTCAGGTCAGGTGATTGACTTGGCCATTGCATAACATTCCATTTCATTCCCTTAAAAAACTCTTTGGTTGCTTTTGCAGTATAATTCGGGTCATTGTCCATCTGCACTGTGAAGCGCCGTCCAATGAGTTCTGAAGCATCTGGCTGAATATGAGCAGATAATATTGCCCGAAACACTTCAGAATTCATCCTGCTGCTTTTGTCAGCAGTCACATCATCAATAAATACAAGAGAACCAGTTCCATTGGCAGCCATACATGCCCACGCCATGGCACTACCACACTACTCATCTGTCCATAGGATGTTGTTCCAGAACTGTGAAGGCTTTTTTAGATGTTGTTTGGCAAACTCTAATCTGGCCTTCCTGTTTTTGAGGCTCACCAATGGTTTACATCTTGTGGTGAACCCTCTGCATTCACTCAGGTGAAGTCTTCTCTTGATTGTTGACTTTGACACACATACACCTACCTCCTGGAGAGTGTTCTTGATCTGGCCAACTCTTGTTTTCCGTGGTCTTCCGGGTCTTTTGGTGTTGCTGAGCTCACCGGTGCATTCTTTCTTGAATTGATTAGCCACACCTAATGTTTTTGCTCTCTCTCTGATGTTTTTTTTTTTTCAGCCTAATGATGGCTTGCTTCATTGATAGTGACAGCTCTTTGGATCTCATATTGAGAGTTGACAGTAACAGATTCCAAAGAGCACACTTGAAATAAACTCTGGACCTTTTATATGCTCCTTGTAAATGGGATAATGAGGGAATAACACACACCTGGCCATGGAACAGCTGAGCAGCCAATTGTCCCATTACTTTTGGTCCCTTGAAAAGTGGGAGGCACATATACAAACTGTTGTAATTCCTAAAACTTTTGAACTCAGAGCAAAACTTTGACATCGGCAATAGAGAACAACTGGACACAGTTCCATTCTCCTGGCCTGTCTTGTATTGATTTCACAACAAAGCAAAAGTTTTGTCAAGTCCCACAGCCATTGCTAGCAACAGTTGTGGGTAAAAGACTGCTTTTTTGCACTTTGAGAGGCGTTTTCTATATGGAGTATCCAGTGGTCTTTGAAAAATAACTCCTGAAATAATAATTACGAAAGTGCTAAATTCTCTTCTGCACTGGGCCTAGACTAAGCTCAGAACAGGTTTATGCATTAGCTACACACTGTGTAGTTTAAAATGCAGTCACCTCCAGAATGTATTATATAGTGTCCCTTTAAACTATTAAGACAGCAAAATAAATGTGCACATATGCTTAACAAAACAAACTGCCGTTATAACATAATTGAGAGCCGTGTTAATCTGCTTGTCCATGGAAGGCAGCGGCTCATACTATACTAGAAGGCATTTTATGAACTAGTGCCCTTCCCCAGCCCTCCACATGCCCGCGTGCTGACACTGCAGTAAACAAACCGATCACGTGACCAGTGTGTGCCCGTGCCTGCCTTCCGGTGACGTTACGCTGTAGTACCAGCAGAGGGCGGAAGCGGAAGTGCCGAGCAGGTAGGAAACGGTGAGTCAGAGGCTGATTGGAGGTTTGTGTATCTGTCACATCGTGTGTTCCAGCCATGTAGTTGTGGTTGTGGACACATATGTGTGTGTGTGTTATTTACTTATAATTCATTAGAAATGCTTTTTATTTAACCCTAAAATGTCTTTCTATCTTTATATAATGATGCTTTATTTACATGTGCAGTGTGTACACACAGGGAGCAAAATAATCAGTATTTTACATTGGGATTCAAGTAACATTACCAATACTCTAATAACATTACTAATACTCTAATAACATTACTATTACTCTAATAACATTACCAATACTCTAATAACATTACTATTACTCTAATAACATTACCAATACTCTAATAACATTACTAATACTCTAATAACATTACTAATACTCTAATAACATTACTATTACTCTAATAACATTACTAATACTCTAATAACATTACTATTACTCTAATAACATTACCAATACTCTAATAACATTACTAATACTCCATTTACATTACTAATACTCTAATAACATTACTAATACTCTAATAACATTACTAATACTCTAATGACATTACTAATACTCTAATAACATTACTATTACTCTAATAACATTACTAATACTCTAATAACATTACTAATACTCTAATAACATTACTATTACTCTAATAACATTACTAATACTCTAATAACATTACTAATACTCCAATGACATTACTAATACTCCAATGACATTACTATTACTCTAATGACATTACTATTACTCTAATGACATTACTATTACTCTAATGACATTACTATTACTCTAATGACATTACTAATACTCCAATGACATTACTATTACTCTAATAACATTACTAATACTCTAATGACATTACTATTACTTTAATGACATTACTATTACTCTAATAACATTACTAATACTCTAATGACATTACTATTACTCTAATGACATTACTAATACTCTAATGACATTACTAATACTCTAATGACATTAACAATACTCCAATTACATTAACAATACTCTAGCGACATTACTAATACTCTAGCGACATTACTAATACTCTAGCGACATTACTAATACTCTAATGACATTACTATTACTCCAATGACATTACTAATACTCTAATGACATTACTAATACTCTAATGACATTACTAATACTCTAATGACATTACTAATACTCTAATGACATTACTAATACTCTAATGTCATTAATAATACTCTAATGACCTTAACAATACTCCAATGACATTAACAATACTCCAATGACATTAACAATACTCTAGTGACATTAACAATACTCTAGTGACATTACTAATACTCTAGTAGTGACATTAATAATACTCTAGTAGTGACATTAATAATACTCTAGTAGTGACATTAATAATACTAAAGTAACATGTATTAATACTGCTATTCTGTCTGAAGCAGAGCTCACAGCTGCTGCCAGACATGGTGTTTCTAGAGGAGTGGGGCTGCAGCTCCTAGTAATGCATGTTGTTATTACAGCTGTCATTGCTTACCTGTGGCTCTACAGCTGTTGTCAGGATCTTTTCCCTTGATGCTCACCTTAGCTGAACCTCAGGGAAAATATCATCTACACCTGGTATAATGTCAAAATTCATTCACGATTTACTATTGCTATGATTTAAGAAATGCATTTTCTTTAAATCTATAAATATTTTTAACCTAAAAAGTAGACGGTTATCAGCAATACAAATCACGTGCACTATATAGGACTGGCGTGTCACATTTAGGAACAGTCTAAAAGCCCAGGGCAAAAATTCAGGATGAAGATTCCTCTTGCTCATGTAATTCTGTTTGCCTCCTGCATTAAATGCCAAATCATTATTTGCCTCAATACTCATGAGAGTATTATTCTTCCACAGAGCACCTGACATTTATACACATCAAATCCAGCACCAAATAACATCCACATTGCATAAGTACCCATCAGTTTCCTACATGGCACATACTGCACGTACACAACACCTTTATCTTGCATCCATATCATGTTTAGCAATTTACACTGACACAAACACACAAAAGACCCCCCATCATTTCTGAGAATTCCAAACCCATTGAGTAGCATATAGAGACCCACCTGGTTAGCCCATCTGACTTTGGAAGTAGCACAGTGAGGGAGCTAGCTAATTATTAAACCACAGATTAGCTGTCCCTGGTGTATAAGTGTGCTTAAGCAACCTGGAACAATGCTTGGTTGTTCCACATTTTATAGTGGTACTTTAATGCAGGACAGTATTCAGAGAACCGTTCTTAATTTGTTTCCTACAAGGTGATCTGATGGCTGTTGTTGTTTTTTTTTTTAAATATATGCTAAAGGTACATATCTATAAGATTATATTTAATTTAATCTTCCAAAAAGAGGGGATTTGAAAAGGTAAAAATTATGTGCCAATTTTCATACAAGTAATCTTACAAATGCTACTGTTTTATAGCTGTGTTTTTGGAATCTTCAGTCGTTTGTCAACCAATCCCTTGTCACAGCCCCTTATGTAATTGTCATAACACAAAGCTCAGTGTGATACCATCCATGTGTTAAAGTCTGTATACCATACACAATTAGAATGTGCTTTTTTTTTTTTTTTTTTTTAAATCTTTATTTTTCTGTGTACAGTTGTACATGAGAGTTACATGCAGCATTTCATGAGATCATAAGATTGCAAATATTCGGCAGTAGCAAGTATTCTCTTAGCATGTATGGTTAATGTCAGGATATATGGTGAAATGCCTATGGTGAGCACTTTTTAATTACGTCTATGTTTGTGAACAAACCCGGGGCTAGCTAGATTGCAGCAGGCTAGTGTTTGGTTTGTGTTGCGCTCCTGGGGTACTACAGGCGTGGGGTGTGAAGTAAGGTCCCTTGCGGTGCATGAGGCTGCAATGCTGCATAGGAGTACAAAGTGATAAAATACACAAGTAATGTTATGGCGCTGAATTTAAAACTATAATCTATACCAATAAGCAGCACTATATATCGTGAAAAAGCTATGTAAAAACAATGAAAAATTTAAGTGCGCTGTGCCTTTAAGACACAAAACAGTGAAAATAATTTTATGTATGTACATACTACCCTATGATTGTATATTTCCTTTCTCTTTTTGAGACATATATTGGAGTGCTGACAGAAGTTCTAAAGCACATTCCATAATTGGGAAAAGCTAAGTATTGTATTTTTGCACATAATTGGTTGCACACAGAAACAATTTTTTGCACATTTTGTATGTATATATGTTGAAGTGAGTTGCACATTGATGCACTTGATCACTTTATTTGCACAATATTGCCCAAATTATTTTCACTGTTTTGAGTCTTAAAGGCACAGCGCACTTTAATTTTTCAATGCTGCATAGGAGTCTACACGTGTGGCCTCAGGTTGGCGTCTATGTGCGTTGATAGTGCCAGGGTGTGTGTACCTACTGGGTACTATATGCGGTGCGGTATTCATGTTTGTGTGGACGTTGACACGTTCGCTGTCTTGGTGGTGGTCTTGCACGCTTAGAATTACCCCTGACCTAAGGGGTTGGCGGGGGGGGGGGGTATTTAAGGCGCCTCTTGTTGCCAGATTGCCTGAGTCTCAGAGGCCAATGGCTTGTTGAGTGAGAGAGGTGTGTAAACCCCGTTATGTTATGTTGGGAGGGTTGTGTTACCTATCCGAGGAGTTGGGGTATGTTGTCTGCGTGTGCATACAAGAAAATAAAATAAAAGTAAACGGTAAATAAGAAAAAAAAAATATATATATATATATATATATATATATCTCAAATAAAAACTGAACATGAGAAACTCTTAATTGGTTTGGATAAAAGTCCGAGCAGGTAGTTGGTCGATGTGGTGTTCGATAGCCAGATGGTTGCTCAGAGGTAAGGCTGGCTCAGTCCCATAGTTGGGTCAGATATTTGGGCGCTCAGGGTAATTCGCCAGTTGTCCGTTTGAAGTGCTGGGTGTTGGGTCCCAGGCTACAGTTTGGTTGTCCTCTATATTAGGTGGTTGACTCGGTTGTAGTCCCATTGCAGACAGGAAGGCTGGGGCTCCCAAGGGGGGGAGGTAAGACTGTGTGTGGTCCCCGCATGATGAACGAGTAAGGAGCCGGTGTTACCCCATCTGTATGGTATGTTTGCTTTGCGTTGGGTGGACGTTACTTGGCCAAAGGATTTACGTCTAAGTAACGTGGCTTTGGTGAGGTCTTGAAAAAATAGTAACTTTGCATCCTCAAATTCTAGCGGCGTTTTGCCTTTCAGGGCAGTCATTATTTGAATCTTATCATGTATGGCGACAAATCGCAGGATGACATCTCTGGGGGTGTCCTGTGCCGTGCAGGCTGAGCCTGTTACGCGGTACATACCGTCCAGTTTGATTTTCTTAGCTATTGGTTGTGGCAGGATTGTAGACGAGAGACGTCGTGTGTAGTGCGGCAGTTCTTCAGTGGTGATGGTGTTGGGTATGCCGCGTATCTTTACATGTGTTCGGCGTTGCTTGTCTTCAAGGGACATTATTTGGGTTGCTAGGACACGTTGTTCCATATGCAGCTGTTGGACTGAGTCTTTCAGGGTGGTCATAGTGGTATGGACTCCTGCTATGTCCCTTTCTGCATGTTTAATGCGGTCTGTGACTTGTTGCATGTCCCTTTTAATCAGGGCCACATCTGCAGCCAGCAGCTTCTGTATGTCTGCCAGGAGGGCTTTCAGATCCCCTTTAGTAGTGGGGGCTGAGTCCTCTGGCGAGGCTGGGAGTGATGTGGGTCCCACCTGGGGGGTTTGTGTGGGGGGGGTCTCCTCTCCCTCTGTCTCCGGGACGGGGGCCATGTTTGGCGGGGGATCCGCATATTCTGGCGCGGTCTGCGCTGGTCGAAGCAGCATTTCCCCTATGTCCCTACCTTGGGCATGATTCCCAGCCGTGGGTTTAGGGGTGCGTCGGCCCATGGTTGCGTCCTGCAGGGGGTAGGCTGGGTGATCGCGACCTGCTCCCCATCCGTCGAGTGCCTCTAGGCTGAGGGTTGGTGTGGCGCAGTAGGCCGCGGTTTTGCGCCGCTGCCTGGGTTGCCTGGCGGCTTGAAAAAAAGGCACCAATCTACTCGCCCTGACACCGTGGTGCTTTATATGCCCTTGATTTTGGCGGATGGCCCCTGTGTAGGGAGATTTTTGCAAGTTTGTGGTCGGCAATCCGGGAGCTGTGTAAGATAGCGTCTGTACAGGTTGGTCGTCAGGCTCCGCCCCCCTAGAATGTGCTTTTTGTACCACTCCACTTTGTTATACATAAGACTGACACGTTTAACCCCTTAAGGACCAAACTTCTGGAATAAAAGGGAATCATGACATGTCACATATGTCATGGGTCCTTAAGGGGTTAAAGGGACACTATATGCATTCAGACCACTTAATATCATTGAAGTGGTGTGGGTGCCTTGTCTGTGTCCCCTTAATCCTGGGGGGGGGGGAAAGGGCTAGTGCTAGAAATACAGATTTCCTAAAACTATAGATTTCCTTTACGCTACTAAGCACTGCCAGAGCCTTAAAGGTAGACTCTATGAAACTTCAAACGAAAGTGTCCTGGGCCAACATTCAGAGAGCACATACCACCAGACTAGAAATATTCTGCCCATTCTAGTCAACACGTAACATAGTTTCCATTACCTGCATGTTATATTATCGTTTTCTGGTTGCATTTTATGCCTTGATTTATATACTTGAACCCCAGGACATACTTGAAAAGGAGAGAAATCTCAATGTATCTTTCCTGGTAAAATATTTTATAAACAAATAAATGTGATTTGCTCTTGAAACTTGACAGAATCTTTCCAGTCCTGGTCATAAATGGAACAGACAGTGGAATAAAATGACGGACCAAGAAAACAATAACAGCTTTTCTGCCAATCCTTTTGCTGCTCTCTTTGGTTCTGTAGCAGAGGCACAGCAGTTTGTGGCTGGACAGAAAGTGCAGCTTCAACAGAAGACCGGTGAGATTAGGAGACAAGGAAAATAAAATACATAATGCTTGTGTGGATCTTCTTGTCAAGGTGAACTAGTATGTTAAAGTGTTTCTGTCACCAAAGACTTATTTATGAGAATTTGAAAACCATCATATATTTATATACTGCACTGAAATCAAACGATATCATAAGACATAGCAGGGACCAAGTTGACAAAAGGTTGGATCTCCTGCCATTATGTTTTGTGAGTTCCCACAGTTGGTGCTAGGCATGGTCTCACTCATCGCAAGACATGATCTATGGAGGCTCCTGCGTGATCCTCCATAGAGATCAGTAAGCTTGTGCAAAAATTCAAATTTTTGCACAAGTTTAGAGATCACTGACTTGCTCCCTCCATGCAACCATCAATAAGCATATTTTGCAAAAACCCCACCAAAGGTGACAGAGCTGCTTTAATGATTGTGTTCTTACCACCATTACTGGTTACCTAAAATATAAAATAGGGAAAATTAGATTACCCATGAGTGCACCTTTGGGTATCTTGGAACAAAGGAGCCTAAGTGACCTGGAAGTGCACTGGAGTTATTTTCTTATTTTATTTTTTTTTACAGCAATTCAAGCTGCTGTCAGAAGTGAGGTTGTTGTAGGACAGGGATAGGCCACCTTTGGCGCCCCAGATGTTGTGGACTACAATTCCCTTGATGCTTTGCCAGCATTATGACTGTAAGAGCATGAGAGATGAAGTCCAAAACACCTGGTGTTGGGTACTCTCTGCACCGTCGACTTTACAATCATGCACAGTTGTGATAGTACTTAGGCAATCCTAGTTCTTCTTCAATTTGTTCTTGAAACTTGATTACTTTCTATGGTAAGGATAGAAGTATAAACACATACAATTTTACTTGAAGGGACACTCCAGGCACCCACCTGTAGGTTAGGTTACAGTTATATTTATATTGGGTAATTCTAAATAATAATTTTTGCTTTATAAGCCCATCCATTCTGCCCCTGCTTCCCAACCTCCTGTGTTTGCATTCTTACTCCAAATGTACAGGTTTATATGATGTTATGATTTTTTACCGACAGGCATTCCTTTAGTTATGTGCTTGTCGGTGTAATGAAAAGGTAAATGATCATTTTGGTGAGAGATTAATGCACAAGTGTACAGTCTAAGAATTAGAAGTTACACTAGATGTGAGTTTTGTTTCTGTTTTTTTAATTTGTGTCTCTATCTTTCACGTTTTTCTATATAATGCATAAACAGATATTATGTTTGCTAGAGCAGGGCTTAATATTTCAAGTTGTACACTGATAGCCAGGCCTTAAATGTTACTTGCCATAGCAAGCCTGGAGGGTTCATGACACACTCTGGGTCTATTTATATTTGCCAGGGCTATATTTATTTTTTTTACTAGCCAATGGGAAGTTGAAATTTTGAGTCCTGATCTTGAATATACCTTTAATAACCCAGCTTCAATCTTTAGTGTTTCCAATCCTTTCCTCAGTGTAACTAGAAAATGTCTACTTTACCAGGTGAGGATGGAGAGGACAGCCAGGATGAATCTGACAATAGCGTATCAGAAAGCTTGGATGACTGTGACGACTCCATTGCAGAAATCAGTCGCTCGTTCCGCTCACAGCAGGAGATATGTGAGCAGCTCAACATCAACCACATGATTCAGAGGATCTTTCTCATCACTCTGGACAACAGTAAGTACCTGTCCAGTTATCCAGTCTTGTTGTTAGGGACTTGAAATGTCTGCAATCTACCCATGTTGGATTTAAAAAGATATATGTAAATAAATAACAGATATTAGTTAGTAAGATATTAACATCTTCATTTACCCCTCTGTGATTAAGAATTGAGTGTGTGCTTTTTAAAATGCTTTCTAAAAGATCAATACAAGACTCGCATAAATGAGTTTCATGCAATAAATCCGCATCTTACTGGTGTTGTCTGCTTTGCCCTTCAAGTAGCTGAGGAATTTTAGCCCCCAGTCCCACCGAGAGAAAAGCACTGCACTTAAGGCATATATTGACACTTAGGCTGGCTAAGGTCGGTGACCAGAATTCTTTTTGGTCCTAGTAATTAGGTCTGCCATTACTCATCAAGGCCACCCTACTCTTGCATAGAACGTAGTATGGCTTTTCAGTCCCACTAATTTCCTGTTATGTAATATCCCAATGCCGATCCACTACGAACTTTAGTTACATATTTTTGTTATAATGGGGTAGGTGGATTTGGGGTGATTGATGTAAAGCTGCTGTCAGTGATGCATAGAAGAAGTGCTACCGCATGCTTTTGAAGCGGACTGCATTTTTCAGGAATAATTTATTTCATTTCTGGGGCACAACTCTGTATCAGGATACAATTAAAGGGCTGGAGATTTTACAATGTATTCTTCCGTATGCAGAGCTTTCCCCATAGAAATGATTGCGAGCCACTAACCTTTTTGCAGAGCAGCCAGTACTGTGTATGTCTAAAAGCACCCCATTAAATCCTAATGGGAAATGCTACTTGTGAGCATCATACCTCTTTTCACTGCGCACCACAAGTGAATTATAGGGTTTGTGTCAGAAGCATCACGGGCCTGTAACTCCCACAAATTGCAACCATCGTAGTGAAATAATGGAAAATGTGACTGCTCCACCAGAATCACTATATCTCCAGTGAAAAGTAGGGGGGGAAGGAGTGGACCAGTGTGATTTAGTAAAACTTGTGTCCTTCTGGTTCTCAGCACTGCACATGACCCTATAGTTTATGTGGTATTTGCTGTGGATAATATTGTATTGAAAATTAAACATCCAGACCAGAGTGTATCTCTATACCTTCCTACGGACAGCACATGAGGAGTGCTCGTGTAGAAAGAGTAACAATGGCTGCCTGTAGGTTATCCTTTATCTGTAGAATTTCTGGTTACTAATATTGGAGGTATTGCTGCAGGAGAATGCATCACAGGTAATAACCACACCAACTGATTATTGGCTTTTGAAGTTGTGTGTTCCATTTTGTTACAGGTGACCCCAGTATGAAGAGTGGGAATGGTATTCCTTTGCGCTGTGTTTATCTTGAGGATCTTGGGTCTGAGCTAGATGGACAGGACTGGTTAGACATGGACAACGTGGAACAGGTATCAGTCTTACATCAGTGTAGAATCAGTTACTAGTCTGACATGGCACCTTTGCCCTGAGCGCTTTACAAAAGATATACGAAGCAAACATTGACCGGGAGAATAAGTATTAGAATCAAGTGAAATCTGCCTTAAATAAGTAATGGCCACTGTAATGTGGAGTGAACACAAGGGTAATTGCTAAGAGGACCTAGGAAATGGCCTGAAGATGAGACTGCCGAGAAGCAAGTACAATGTCGTAAGATGCCTTGGAAAGTAAGGGGAGTTTTGGTAAGAAAGGAGAGTGAACTAAAGAGATGAAGGAACGCTTTTGAGGTAAGATGGGGTTTTAGACATATTGCAACATGGGCAGGCTTGTGGCAGAAGATGATTGAGGGAAGATGGGGAGATGTAAGTTTATGGATGGATTTCTAGACGACAAAATAAGAATACCAAACATTGGCAGATTGGAAACCAGGGTACACATGTAAACATTAGGAGTATTACATGTATAGGTCGAAGCATGTTCTGCAGAAATGCAATAGAAGGGTGAAGGAATTTGTTGTAATCAAGCTGGGTAAAATTATTGCGTAGATGAATTCTGTGAATTTTTAATTTGAGTGTGATGGTTAAAACTGCGGGTGGTAAGAAAAGACATATAGCTAAGGTGGAATAAAAAAGAAATGTGAATTATAATGGAGAAATACGTTTTGCAAATAAGAAAAGTACTTCAGCTTTGCCAACTTTATGTGAAGATGTAAACGTGTCCAGAGGACAGGAAAACTGAAGGAGTGGACAGAAGTCATGATGAAATCAGCTAATTAATATTCTTTCTGTACCCTGTTCCAAAATGTCAGTAAAACTAAACGTTTTTCTTTTATGGATTTGCTTCACATTAGAAAACACACTTTTTTTTTTTTATTAGGACATGTAAGAAGATGGTAATATCCAGTCTCAAAGTTTAGGTTTTATTAAATTAAATGGTAATCTGTAACGGTCTTCGGGTCCAGCACACTTTGTATTGTACAGTTCCTATGTTCTTGTTTTAATACTCACTCTTTCTTTCAGGCCTTATTTACTCGGCTTCTTCTTCAGGAACCAGGGAAGTACCTCATATGCATGACATCCTCAGTAGCCCCTAACCTTTCTGCAGACAGAGATGCTGGAGAGGAACACATTATCCCATTTCTGTTCTCTTGCTTCCAAAGAGCCAAGAAAGAGGTGAGAGCCAAAGCCAGTACTTGGTTGAATTGTATCACCTATTTCACTCCTGTTTTGAAATTTGCAATGAGCTTCATCCCTACCAGTGGCTAACTGCAATTGTTTCTGTACCTGTAGGTCACAAAAGTGCCTGAAAATCTTCTACCATATGCTGTTCGCTGCAAGGCTCTAACAGTTTCCAATTCCCGCACTGTTCTACTAACGCCAGAAATCTACCAAGGACAGGATGTTCCAGCCCAGTTGGTGGACCTGATGTTGGAAGGACTCAGAGGGGCATGTAAGTTCCACCCATCTTATACGACTATTGAGAAGATTAACCTGATTCTCTATACCTTGACTTATTTCTGTTTTTTTTTTTGTTTTTTTTTTGTACTTTATTAAATAATAAAGTACACATTTGTGATAGGTTTGGCTGGCGTTGTTTTACTAAGAGCAGGAGTAGATGGAGCGTTGTATGCCCCCCTTTATTAAAAATGTATCAGTCACTTTTACAAGGGGCCAAACAATGTGATTCTCATAATTCTGTTTCCTTTCAGACTTTGAAGAGGTATCAGAGTTCCTGGAGGACATTATTGAGGCACTTTTGGCAGATGAAGAAGTACACACCTTCAGTGAAGTTTTCCAGCCTGTGTTTGATGTGCTTCTAGAAAGGGTTAAGGACTTAGATCTGTGCCAAATGCTGCTGTATACTTATCTTGACCTCCTACTCTACTGCACTCGACAGAAGGATATTGCTAAGGTAAGAAGTTGAACAAAAAGGGAACTGCATGCTTCTTGTATTTTTTGTTGTTTTTTTGTGGTGTTTATACTGAAGGCAGGTATGGATCCTTTTTACATAATGTATGTCTTTGTGAAGTTGCCTTGCTAAAATACTAGTGTTGGTGTGTATAAAGGCACTTATAAAAGTTTAAAATTTACATATAAAAAAATTTTTTAGTTCAATAAAATTTCCTTAGTTGCTGACCACTACTTAGTGTAAAACCTTTAAACACTTACAAACGTACAAAAATAGTGAAACTGTAGTGTAGCATTTAAAAAATTGGAAGATTAAACAACCAGTGTGCAAAATTTTGCTCTTAAAGTGTCTAGTTACCTGTATCAATCCTTACAAAAACTCTTTTAAGTGCTTGTGCAAAATATGCAGGTAATAGTGTACCCTTAAAAAAAACATTAAAACATATGATATACCATTTTTAAAGTGCTTAGTGTACTTATGTGGAAAAAAAATGTTATGTGCAAATTTATAAAGACATTATCTTTGTGACCAAAGGCTATGGCACATGAACTGAATTGATTAGCACTTTGGTCATAAAGATACGTTTGTAATGTCTTTATATATTTGCACATAAGTTTTTTCCGCATAAATACACTAAGCACTTTAAAATATTTTATATCACATATAATCCTGAAGGAATGGGATTAATATTATTTTTTTTTTGTTGGTGACAATTCCACTTACTGTATATATTTTGTAAGTATACCAAGTATCTGTATTCTAGAATAAAGTATTTTCCATTCACAGGTATTCGTAAAATATATACAGCCTCAGGATCCCACGAATGGGCACCAATATCAGAAGACACTACTTGGGGTCATTCTCAGTATTTCCTGCTTGCTGCGCACCCCAGGGGTGGTAGAGAACCACGGCTACTTCCTTAATCCATCACGGTCCAGCCCTCAAGAAATCAAAGTCCAGGAATCTAACATCCATCAGGTAGGGCGATCTTTGAATAGACCATTTTGGATAGAGCTTAAAGGGACTCTCTAAACACTAAACCACTACAGCTTAATGTAGTGATTTTGTCAAAAGCATACTTCTCATAGGGAAGCTTTGTATTGAATGCTTCTCTGTGAGTAGCATCTAATTGGTCCTGTCAGTTCCAGAGTTTGCCCAATAGGTTCTCGGTGCTTCTCTATGAGGAGCATTGGGCTGGACAGAGATCATCTGAAAATAGGAAGAGCAGCTCTCTCATGGAGACTGTTCAAAAGGTGAATAAAAACTAATTATATTAAATGTGTGAGGGGCCATTCTATGAAAGGTGCTATTGCCATTTAATGTCATTTAATTGGCTACAGTGTCTGGAGTTCCCTGATGCTGTCCCTTTGTTTGGTGTTAACCCATTTTTGGAATAGTTAACACTGAATTAGGGTCCCTGGTCCACACAGCCCTGCCCTCACTGGAGACATGACTAAGACAGAGATTATACACTTCCTTCTAGCTATACCAATTCGTACCAGAACTGGCGGCTGTGATAGGCTGACACTCTCAGGACTGCAGACACTATAACCACTTCAATGAGATAAAATGTTTAGTGTCCTTTTAAGGAACACTCTATCATTAATGGATCTCTCAAAGCACCAAGCTTGCTGTGGTGGTTATGGTGCAAGGATTGGCTTTACCTCTTAATATAAGGCGTAAAACCGTTTGAAAGCTGTTTGACATCTTCAGTAGGGTTGGGTGCTGCTCCCCACCTCCGCTACCACTGATGGAGAACCAGAAGCTCTCTGTCTAGGCTAAGCCCTGCGAGAGAAATCATCTAATCCTCTCAGCCAAAGAGCTAGCACTTTACTGCAGAGTTTAGCTCAGGAACTCCTGCCTATTTGTTTCTGGCTCTCCATTGTCAGTAGTAGAGGTGAGGAGTGGAGCCTGGCAGATCCCAAGTAAGACTTTTTTTTATATATATATATATATATATATTCTTCTTCTTCAGAAATGTTCCAAAATAGTAACGTAATTAATTATTAAGCCTCACAGCAGCATCTCAAAAGCCATCAATAAATAGGGAGGAAACTGCAGATATATGATCATGATATAGTCAACATGTTTTTGTTTTTAGATATTTTAGCATTAGTCCTAACCACACCCAATAGATTTGTTGGGTGTTTTTGGTTTGTGTTTTTTTTTTTTTTTTGCCCTATGGACTATACTCCAATGGGGAATAATATGTAGATCACACTAACATTTATTAGAAGCAGTGACCTCTTATGAAAATCCTGGCACTCATACAACTGACAAAAATTGTTTGGGAAAGTTCTACCAAGATATGCAACCATTTCTTTCTTTCTATTGCACTGAGAATAATGCAACTACATTTTATCTATATTTCTGTGTATTAGACCATGCCTTTCCACTCAGTGCTTACCAACGCACTGTCCTCTGTGTTTCTTATAGTTCATGGCACAGTTTCACGAGAAGATTTACCAGCTCCTGAAAAATCTTCTTCAACTATCTCCTGACACTAAGCACCTGATCTTGTCCTGGCTTGGAAACTGTCTACATGCTAATGCTGGCCGTGGCAAAATCTGGGCCAACCAGGTTCCTGAAATCTTTATGCAAACTTACGCCTCAGACAGTTTCTTCCTCAATTTGGGAGCAGCTCTACTCCGCCTCTGCCAGCCCTTTTGTAAACCAAAGTCTGCTCGTCTGCTGACTTTTAATCCCACTTACTGTGCTCTACGAGAGATCAATGAAGAGGAACGCAAGACTCGGAATGCACATATGAAAGGTAAGTAGACACAATGTAAAGTCTGCATATTCTTTTATTATAACCACCACCACTAGATTTGTATCCAGTCTGTTGTTCTCCATATCCATTTATTACCCTTGTGTTCTATTTAGATTTGTGGACTTGTATCTCTTTTCAATACAGGCCTAGACAAGGAGACTTGCCTGATTCCAGTTGCTTCAGACCAACAACCAGAGTTCCCTCAGACTTTCAACCTGGTGACGGAGAACCTGGTGTTGACCCAATACACCCTGCACTTGGGCTTTCACCGGTAAACTCTTCCTTCCTACACTTCTGAACCCATCGACTTAACCACATGCGATTATACTGTGCACAAATGCATAGTATTGCAGGTTGCTGGCTGTAAAATAAAATTAAAAGACTGTATGAAAGCAGTAAGTTTTAATAAACATGTCAGAGACCTATTTTTGTATGGTAGCTCATTTAATCTATATTATTGTGCTAGCGAGAGGTGTTTTAATTAGTGCACATTTGGCACACCACCTGGGATGCCGAGAAATGTTGGCACCGGAGAAACTAAAAGATGCCCGAGTTTTTTTTTTTTTTTTTAAGGGATTGTGATACTGCCTGATGCTTAAATATTGAGATAGTAATTAGCTGCCTAATGGTTTTAAATCTTGCCAAAATCTTGAGTTTGGAGACATGTGACGAATATATCTCTCCCGTTACATTTATCAGTGGTATGCTACCGTCATCTTTTAATTCTTTCACTTTTTTCCCCCCTCTTGCCTCCAGGTTACACGAGCAAATGGTGAAGGTGAACCAAAGTCTGCATAGGCTGCAAGGAGCCTGGAGAGATGCCCAGCAGAGTGGTAGCCCTACTGCAGAGAACTTGCGAGAACAATTTGAACGACTCATGACCATCTATCTGTGTCTGAAGGCTGCTCTCAGTGAACCCCAAATGTTGCAGAATTGCATACATCTGCAGGTCTCAACTGCACTTCTCTTGGTCCAGATTGCTTTGGGCAACAGGGGCACAGAACCAGTGACCCTCATCTTTCCTGTTCCCGATGTTCAGCATAGTGCACTAGCATATGTACCAGGTAACATACAACCCATTTTTTCAGCAATTGCAGTTTAGTTTCAAAAGTTAAAGGAACGCTCTAGGTTCACCTCATTTTTATCTTTTTATCTGAATGCCCTCATTTCAGCAGCCCTGTCAGTCCAGATATGTGGTTCATTATTTGTATAATCAGCAAAAGAAGATTCTCTCATTAGCCTCAAACATGTTTTTGTCAACCTAGTGATTCCTGCTAGGTTTCATGTCTAAATTTAGATGTTGGTTACTTCAATTTAGGGTTTCTTGCATAAAAGAGCAAATGAGAGCCAATCTGTCACTGTGCTTAGCTTTCCCAATAATTTTTCTGTTGTACCACTGAAATACCGTATAATTCACGAAGATCGAAGATGTTTGTGTTGAACATCGCTTGTTCCCATTTACCATTATTCGCCCTAAAGCTGTAAATTGTTTAAAGTTTAAGCAAAAATAGCTGAACTTGAAACACAGCTGACTTGAATAATTTTACCAATTTGCCTATTGTGGCCTAAAATTTGAAATATAATTTGTGTTCTTGACAGTTCACACTTTAGTGAATAATATTGTTTAAATTCAAAGGGACATGGAAAGCATGGCTTTTGTTATAATTTTACCTTCTATGTTTCTTACAGAGTTTTTTGCAGACAACTTGGGTGATTTCTTCATCTTCTTGCGGCGCTTTGCAGATGAAGTTCTAGAAACTGCGGCAGAATCTCTGGAACAGATACTGGATTTTATCACCGTTTTCACTGGCTGCGTTGAGAGGTAATGTGTTAGCAATAAAAGGGATTAATGGAGAGAATGTATACCGTATATACTCGAGTATAAGTCGACCCGAATATAAGCCGAGGCCCCTAATTTTACCCCCCAAAAACTGGGTTTTTTCGAGTATAAGCCTAGGGTGGGAAATTTCTAAATAAAATTAGTTCCCAATAAAATTACATTCATTTAATATTTATTTGCAATGTGTGTATATGATAAATGCAGAGAGTGTTTGTGTATATAATGAATGCAGAATGTGTGTGTTTGTGTGAATGCAGTGTGTGTGTATATAATGCAGAGTGTGTGCATTATATACACTGCATTATATACACACACACTCTGTATATGATGCAGACTGTGTTTGTGTAGTGTGTGTGTGTGTGTGTGTGTAAACTGGGTGGGAGGAGGGCATTCGTATTATTTTTAATATTTTTTTATTTTAATATTTTTTTATTTATTTTAATATAATTATTTTAATATATTTTTTTAATATTATTTTATTATTTAATTGTTTCATTTTTTTTTGTCCCCCCCCCCCTCCCTGCTTGTTACCTGGCCAGGGAGGGGGGCTATCTCATTCCATGGTGGTCCAGTGGCATGGGCCGTGCAGGGAGGGGGGCTGGCAGCAAGCTGTTACTTACCTTTGTAGCAGCTCCGGTCTGCTCCCTTCACTTCCGCTCCGTTCAGCTCACTGTCTAAATCTTGCAGTCTGCGTGCCGCGCGGAGCGTTGCCATGCTCTGGAAACACTCTGATGGCCGTGGGTCTCGCGAAATTTAGCGGAAGTGAATGGAGCAGACCGGAGCTGACAGTGAGCGGAAGGCAATGGAGGTGAAGGGAACTGACCGGAGCTGCTACAAAGGTAAATAACAGCTTGCTGCCAGCCCGCAACAGGATCGCCGGGCTTGTAATGAGTCCGGCGGTCCTGGTCTGTATTATGGCAATGTAAGTTGCCATAATACACACACTGACTCGAGTTTAAGCCGAGTGGGGCTTTTTCAGCAAAAAAAATGTGCCGAAAAAACTCGGCTTATACTCGAGTATATACGGTAATCACTTAAGAATAGCTATATTAAAATGTATTGCGGGCAAGAAATACATCATGGGCAAGAAAAAACAATATTGCACATACTTAATATAGGGGTGCACGGATATGAACGCATGGCACTAATGTAGAATATAGTAGCATAGAGTATATAATGTAGCAGTATAGTGTTGAGGAATTGAGTGAATGGCGAGATCATCTTCAGGTAGCTATACAATCAATCTGCTACCTTATATAGTTTAGATCATGACTGCCCAATCGGTAGATCCCCAGATGTGGTCGAACTACAACTCATATGATGCTTTGTATGCCTTTAGAATGACAAAGCATCATGGAAGCTGTACTTCTACCACATCTGGGGATATACCTATTGGGCAGCCCTAGTTTAGATGCTTTATACTCCTTTTCCTTTGTGTCCTCACAGAATGGAGTGTGCTGTGAGGGATTAAGCAGAATAATAGTAAATGTTTGAGTATAAGACAAGACCGTATAAAATATTTGGTATACAACTCTATACCAACTCTGGGTTTGAAAGCTTAAATGGAGAGGGTACGCCCTACTGCCCTACTGCTCTACTGGATAAATCCATATCAACATAACATCAGGGTAATACCAACACAAACAGAGGGAATGTCAAAATAAGGTTATGGAGTCAAAGATATATTGCTAACATATCAAATGTATGTAATCAACAAGAAAGAGTGTTAAGCCCAAAGCAGAATATTTCTCTATGTCTCAATTCCAATAAGTAGTGTCACATATGTGCTTGCAGATGACACACAGCAACCTTGCCAATGCTCTCAGTTGGGGTGTTGGCTGTAGCTCAACAAAAGGAAAATATAGCTTGTACCTATATAGCATGTCTTACAGGACCCTTAAGGGACACTATAGGCACCCAGACCACTTCATCTCATTGAAGTGGTCTGGGTGTTGTGTCCCTATCCCCCTTAGTCCTTCAATGTAAAACATTGCAGGTTTATAGGGACTGTAATGTTTTCATTGCAGTGCTAAGACTGTCTTTAATGGCTGTCTACCAGATGGCCACTAGAGGCACTTCCGAGAGTTCACCAGACATTGGGTCCCTTAAATGACGCTGGATGTTCTCATGCTCTGCAGCTTCAGATTTATAATCTATAGAATCCCTTTAACATCCTTAACTTCACATGCTTTAGAAATAGTTGACAGAATATATCTGTGAGATAAGGTGTCAGTCTATATAGACTAACACCTGATCACAAATCTAAAAGCTGTGAAAGCAAGAGTGCTGAGAGGTAGCTATGGATTCTATAGATGTTTTTAAGAAAGCTTAGATGATTTTGTGCATATAATTGGATTTGCTGAAATGTTAAACCATGTATTTATACATTCTCTACCATTATTTTGTTGACCCATTTGTGGTTTGCAGCTCATTGATTGCTTTTCTATTTAACATATTATTGCAACCATAATTAATATGTCTGGGAACACCTTGTGCATCCTAGTGAGAAATGTGATCGCACTTTTAGAAACAAGAATATTTTTCCTTTTCTGTGGCACAATAAACAGTCACTTGAAATTGCATTTAACCTAGATTACTATGTTATTATGTAACAGAGAAAGCTGTGGCCTTTGACAGTCTCGAGGAATTTCAGGATGTTACATTCTGGTAAAGAGGAGATAGCCACTTACTTATACTTTGCCCACTCTGCAAAGATTATTCAAATTCTATAGCGTATAAGCAAGCATGATTTACATGTGGATAGTTGACCAAGGGACAGAAAAGAATGATTTCCATAACATCTGTCATCTCCTAATTATCAAATCGCTTGAAATTTCGTGGCATGGAGAGTGCACCCATTGCTTTTAACAGTGGATAGATTCTGCATGAGTAAACCCTCAAATTAGTCTGTTAGAAGCTGTTGCCATTGGATCCACTTCAGAAGGAACCCATTTCATTACATTACTTGGACCCAGATGCAGCCTGAATCCAAATATCTCTGGATTTAGGCTGCACTCGCTGCTGTCCTGACTTACTCTGCTGAGGAAATATGCACTCAAGTTGTTGGACCATGGAACCCTATATCAGGACATTCTACTTTGCCCAGTTTCTGATGAGAGGTAGATTTTTCTCTGCATCCCTCTATTCTTCTTGCTTGTTAATATAAGATACTCCACTGTGGTTGTCCATACACTTAGTTTACTATTGACTAATAGTAGACTGTTGACATAAGGTAAGTTCTGAAATATTGTTTGGAACTTGGAAGGTGTGATTTTCCCAAAGTCCTTTAGCATAAAGGCATCCCACGTGACTATGACCAAGTCTTCCAACAGGAAACCCTTAAAGAGGCTCTTTGGAGAAATCAGCCACTTTAGATCCTTATGCAGTTATTTGAATCAATGGATTTAATTATTTGACCTCGACCTTGCAGTTACAAACAAAAATTATGTCAGAAAATTTAATTTTGGGGGAGAGAAGATGCTATTGTGTCAGTTTGACCACATTTAATGGCAAAGTGCCAACAAGCTCATGAAGGATCTTCCTAAAAAGTACAGCCGATCCACCTTGCTGCTTAGCTTATCTATTTCTTGTCTGAAAAGAAAGTCCATACATACTCTTGTGTCACAACCATGCCCATAAACACTTAATTTACAATGATAAAAGTTGATGACCCAACCAAGTGATTCTGGTACTATAGGGGTATTGCAACAGCTGTGCTATCTCTATACAATCAATACACACAAATCTCTTAGGTGATCCCTATCCTCAGGGGCATTGTACTGGGACAACGTGGCTTAACTAAAGCTCAATGAAAATTGGCAGTAGAAGGCTTAAAGTAAGCTGAAAGGTCCCACAGGCATGGACATAAAATAATAACAGGTTTGTTTGCTGTTCTTACAGCCAAAAGGTCAGAGCTATATGCTGCCATGATGGCCCTATGCAATAGTGCAAATTATTCAGTGAAGGGGGCCCAAGTTACATATTATGTCTCTTTGTAATGCTCATTTCACTTGCTTTATCATTGTAAAGTATGCAGTCGTAGAGGCGATATACATCTGGTTCAAGTATCTTACAACAACCTAAACCTCAGCTTTATTGTACACCGTAGCATATTCACAGTTCTGCACTGGTTTTTTCCATTTTTAATCCCTTGCATTTTTAGGAAACTCCTTATACCAATGTTTTCTCATCCTTGGTTGGTCTCTAAGTAAGCAGTATATTTTTGTTTTCAGGATGAAAAATCCCCACCTGCGTGCTAAACTAGCCGAAGTGCTGGAAGCTGTAATGCCTCACCTGGAACAGGTTCAGAACCCACTTATCTCTAGTGTCTTCCATCGTCAGAAAATCTTCTGCTCCTATCGACATGCACCACACTTAGCAGAGGCCCTTATTAAAGTCTTTGTAGATATAGAATTTACTGGTAAGTCCAGGAGTTTGGCTGCTCTCAAGGAAAGCCTTATGGGCTGTTAGGTGTTTTCTTTTTTTTTTTTTTATCTTTATTTTTGTAGTGCAAGTTTAGAACAGCAAGCCCATGTTGCCACAACAGCAGTCACAGGCATAACATCAACATACAGTATCTGACATGGCAAGTGAGAGAACTGCACAGTTTTATAAATTGAAGCAGAAAAGGTCCGCACATTCTTTGTTTTGTTAAAGTAACTGAATAACATATAAGCTTGATCTAGGTATGCTTGAATACAGTACTAACATGGTAACGTTAGAAGTAAACAGGTGATGGTCGCTAAATCGAACATAAACTTCGCCTAATCTGGGCAAGTAAGGAGTTAGGGTGTAGTGTCTGTTAGGTGTTTTCAAAACAGAGTTGAATTTGTGTTGTTGTCAATACACCATGTTATTTGGCACCCATGTGACTTAATTTTGTGAGAATGCACAGACCGTTATTTAATTTGTGTGAATCTATGGTTTGCTGAAATGTTAAACCTTGTATTCATACGTTCTCTACCATTATTTTGTTGACCTATTTGTGGTTTGCAGCTCATTGATTGCTTTTCTATTTAACATATAATTGCAACCATTATTGTTTCTGCAGGAGATCCTCATCAGTTTGAGCAGAAGTTTAACTATCGTCGGCCAATGTACCCCATTTTGAGGTATATGTGGGGGAGGGATACCTACCGTCAGAGCATAAAGGTCAGTGACCTTATAAATCACCTTATTCACATAGAATTTTAGATTTGTAGTTTTTTGATATGACTGGTTCCCAGTTGTTAAAAATTATTTAATGGAATTCCATTTGGAACCCCACAGAGCTTAGCGGATTATGCATCAGAGAACCTTGAGGCTGTGAATCCCCCTCTCTTCTTGCGCTTCCTCAATCTGTTAATGAATGATGCTGTGTTCTTACTGGATGAGGCCATCCAGGTAAGTAATTAGCATTTAATCAATAAACAGTGGACAAAGTGATGCTTGAAAAAAAACTGTCTTGGAGCTTAAGTTGTATTGCTAAATGGAATATGATATTTTCTGGATGTGCTTACACAATATCTGTAGCTGTGTCCTCTTTTCCATCTAATCCGTAGTCTCAGTTTCAGGTACCAGGAAAATGTACATATATTTATGAATGTCATTTTCTGAAATGAAAATTAGATAGTTGCTCTATTTTTCTTGGAATTTAATTATTTGCAATTACATTTTTGCAAACATATTCTTTGATCCCCCTAAAGAATGGAGGAAAGCATAGACCGACTTTTAGTAGGTTTATATTACAAGGCTTGTATAATTTCTTCTGTCAAGCTGTCAAATATATATAAAAATGCAATAATGTATTGGATTTTATATTCCACTGCAAAATTTGTACAAAACAAGGATATTTTTCTCTGCATTCTTTATGGGTATGCAAGTCTAACCTATACCCGTAAAGAAATTTAAAATCTTTCCTTTGGTCAGTGGGGTTAAATTATTTTTTAGCATGCAAATGTACTGTTTTAGTATGTAAATGTACTGTTAAAATACCAGTTAAAGTCTTTCCGTGATATTTGTTTTTTCTTTTTCTTTTGATGATTGTTCTTTGACTGCTGATGGTCTTTCTGACGTTCAATTATCACTGTACATTCTGTTTGAAATCTCCTTTATGATTTCAGTATCTGAGCAAGATTAAAATCCAACAGATTGAAAGGGACCGGGGGGATTGGGATGGGCTGAGTGCAGAAAGCAGACGTGAAAAAGAGTCCAGTCTGCTTGTACTTGGGCAGCTGGCCAGGTTCCACAACATCATGTCAAATGAGACCATTGGGACCTTGGCCTTCCTTACATCAGGTAAACGAGCAAAGTCTTGTGATGTACCAAGAAAAACGCCGTCACAGCTAGCTGTAACACTGTGGTAAAATCTTAATTTAAGCAACATATCGTGTGAACTAACAATTAAAGTGTATCTGCTATTTACAGATGTCTGGTTGACCACATCCCTTTCAGTTAGGGAATATATTCTGCTAGCATTGCATAGCTAATGTTCTGTATTTACCTTAAATCTTTATAAGGTTTTGAAAATCAATTTGGGTACGAATATTTACATTCTTCTGAATCATAATTTTCTAGTGAGCTTGGCCTAATTGTAGCATTTACATTGTAAGCACCTCGACATAGAGTTGAAAACTAACATTTCTTCAGCATTTTGACTACCCATTAGAAGCTGTAATGACACTGGCAGTTATAAAGAGTAGTCATTACATGATTTGTCTAAATCCAAAAAGTCATGAACAGGTTAAAAGGATAATAAAGGCAAAAAAGGTGTTTTTCATAGTCTCCTTCCTTCAGGCAACATCAGTGCTTTGAGTATTCCTATCACTCAAAGAGCTCACATTAGTAATAAGTCATTTGTGGTTACTTCTTACCCAACAGATATACGTTCACTGTTTGTCCATCCATTCCTGGCTGAACGCATCATCTCCATGCTCAATTACTTCCTGCAGCATCTGGTAGGGCCTAAGATGGGAGCCTTGAAAGTAAAAGATTTCAGCGAGTTCGACTTCAAACCTCAGCAACTGGTGTCAGATATTTGCACCATCTACCTGAACCTGGGGTAAATGAGAAAAATTAAGAGAGATCTAAATGAACAATGTATTAGAGCATATTGTATGCAGGTTAGGTGTTCAGTTTACAAGTGACACCAGAGGTATGAGGAATAATGTGGTGTGCAGACGTGTACTTTTTTGTTTTACATTCCTAGGGATGGGGAGAATTTCTCTGCCTCGGTACCCAAGGATGGACGTTCATACTCGCCCATGCTCTTCGCTCAGACTGTTCGGGTTTTGAAGAAGATTAATAAACCAGGGAATATGATTGTGGCATTCACTAATCTGGCTGAGAAAATCAAGGTGAGACACTACTACGACATGTTATGATGCTTGTGTCGAGACCACTAGCCTGTAGGGACTTTTCTAGAAATAGTTTGCCTGTCTTAATGCTGTACACTTCAGCTCTCATGAGACACACAAACACCAAAGTATTTTTTTGGTTTGAGTGCGTGGCTAATCATGGCTTGGCTTTATTACTGAATATTTTTCCCATAATTCCATGGGCACACAGCACATCATAATGGTTCAGCCGAGATAACTAGGTTTATATTTTCCTTCACTGCTCACCAGTTTAAATATACTGAAAAGCATCAGTTCCCATTTAAGGGGTGGATATTTCCTGTACATTATCAGTAATTATTTTTGTCTTCTTTCAGTCCTTAGCTGACCAGCAGCAGCGAGATGAGGAGACGTATGCTGATGCACCTGATGAATTCCTAGACCCGATTATGAGTACCGTTATGTCAGATCCAGTAATTCTACCCTCCTCACGTGTCACAGTGGACAGATCAACTATTGCACGGCACCTACTCAGGTAATCCAGAAAAATAAAAAATCATTACCTTATGTACTTATTCTAACACGTTATTGAGTGATTTGCTAAACAAGGGACTACTTTAATTGGAAAGTACATTCTTCGAATATAATCAGGCCAATTATATGCTGGGGATGAATGCTTGTGTACTTTTGGTAGAGAATGTCGCAGTTTAAGAACAGTCAATAAGTATTTTCTATGTGCTTCACACTCAAAGGTTCCGTTCTGTGAGCTTGCATGGGTTACCACGTCATTGCTGAGCTATTTTTTGCTCTCAGATGTTTACACTTCACAGGAACAGCACTTACATTCAACTGGGGAAGCTTACGCAAGTAAGAAATTTGATAAACAGACTTATTGGAAATGCAGATCATATGGTGATGGTAAGACAGTGAGCTCTGCAGCACAGGCCCACAAGTGTTTCTTGTTGCTTTGTTAGGTGGTGTGTGTTGCTTGGTGGTATGGACAAGGAATGGAGCTTGTTTGAAATCTTAGTTCTCTGTTAACTGAGGAAAGAGGAAAGTTATAATGAAAATGAGAAAAAGAAAACTAAGCTTTGCTACCTCTTCTTTGTATTAGAGATTAGCCACAGATTATCCCATGTGCCCATCTGTAAAGCAAATTATCTGATATTAATCTGCCTATTTTGTGTCTAACAGGGTTAATGAGCGATACATGTTGATATGCAAAAGATCTCTGAGCTTAAGGTCTGCGTCCCCAGGGAACCCCTAAGAATATGTAAAGTCAAAAACAAACAAGAACACTAAAAATAGGCAAAACCACAATAGTTAGCCTTCCAGTTAGTCTCAGACACATTTCCCTGCACAGACTGAAATTAGATCATTTGAAACTTTTGCAAGCTTTTTTTTTAATTTCCCAGTGAAAAAAGTGTTTTCATTTATTTATCTACTGAATAGTAAAATACTTTCCCCCTCTAATTTGTGGAAAGGAGACTTCTTTTAAAGATGACCTAGAGAAACATAATGCATCAGAGCTAACATTCAAGTATCATAGTTAAGGGTCTAAATACTTATGTCAATGTCATATTTCAGTTTTGTTTTTATTTTTAATAAATTTGTCTGTTATTGGATATTGAGTGTAGATTGATGTGAAAAGAAAAAATAATTTAAACAATTGTAACACAAGGCTGTAACAAAAAAAATCATGGGGTCTGAAAGCACTGTATATTGTACATTGTATTTTACCCACCGAAATAGGTGTTCCTGGAAGCTACATATTTTCACTATATGCAGTCATGTTTTTTTGTGTTTTTTTGTTAATTATTATCTTTAATTTCATATTTGTTCTTCCATCAGCGACCAGAGTGATCCTTTCAACCGCAGTCCTCTTACCATGGATCAGATCAAACCAAACCTTGAATTAAAGGAGAAGATCCTACAGTGGCTGTCTGAGCGCAAGAAACAAACAGAGACTGTGGAACATGAATCCTTGTAGTATTGATTATAGACTAGATACAGACTTGCTTTTTCTACATGCCGAACTCTTCAGCACCCATCACATGCAAGTCACTTCTTTGCCCTTCAGGATTTTGATAAGAAAGGAATTAATCCATGCAAGTGCCGTGAAGAATGGTTAAAATTGTAGAACAATAGGTACAGAAAATTAAGGCGAACCATGTTAAAGAAGAAATTGAAAATCCTTTGCCGCATAACTTGTTTTAAAATCTTTTCCTTAACCTCTTTGATGCCACATGAATGTGACGTCAAACTGGGTTGATCTGACTTGCTAGCGATTTGGGATTGGTTCATTAAAATGGATAATACCTCCCAGATTTTCACTTGTATCTAAGTAAGAACACAGTGTTGTTTCTAAATTGGAGTAAGCTGCTCCAGGTTATTTTGTTGTTAACGTGGATACATTATACCTAAATATTTACAGCCAATTGCAAAGCTGAAGCTGAGCCTTAGAATTATATAAATATATATATATATATATACATAGAGAGAGAGAGAGAGAGAGAGAAATCTGAGAACGTAAAAATAGGAACACAGAACCCTTCTCCAAGATGCTACCTTTCCTCTGTGGATTGTGGCTGTAAAACTGTGATTTTAATAGAACCCAAAAGATAAATACAAATACCTAGGCTTCCAGTGATTTGAAAGTCGTATCACTATTGCCAGCTAAAATATAGCTACAGCGATACTTTGCATCATTGTGCAGTATTGCATGTTCAATTATTTCTCTATATTGTGCCTAATTACAGAGCTTTGTGTTTCTTGTATTGATTTGTAGATAATTAACATTTCATTACCCATGTGTTACAGTGCTTTCATCACATAGTGCTGTATATTCATCGTATCTATGTGTAGATACAGAATCATCATAGAATAGATGGATGTCGAACAGTTTCCAGTTATGGTGCCATGAATAATGCAGGACATAAAAGGTTAACTATTCTAAGTTCATATACAGGGATGGCTTCAGATAAGAAATATTTGATTTCCCTTGTAAATTGGAATCAATCCTTTTGTGATAAAAGGATTCATACATGTTCATCTCAACAGAATCTAATTTGAACAAGAAACTGTAGAACTGCTGTCTATGAGGAAGGGTATTTACTTGATATTCTATTCAAAGAACATGCTGCCTGGACTGCTCCCTGCACTTTATTCACTCAAGTTGGCTAAGGAGAGTAAATCTGAGAACGTTAAAGGATATGCCCAGTCTGGCTTGCAAAGACCATCTGTGTTTTCCCTAATAGTAATTACAAAGATAATATCTGTAAAATTATGCGGGATAGGTTTTATATGACACTTTTTGTTGGATAAACCCAGTATCTTGGTTGTATGTCCACTAATGGGGAAATACAGTACATATAAAGTTGTTATGGTGACTCTTCAGCAACTGTACTTCTCTGAGCCTGAGAATATTAAAAAAGAAAAAACTCACTATGAATACTTTTTAAATAGCTGCATGTAAACTACTGAAACTTGTAAGTGATTAACCCTTGTTGTGTCCGTAACATTGGCAACCTGTACCTTGTCAATGCGTTGCTTGAGCTCTGGTACTCAGAGAGTTGGTTACTTTAGGAAAGTCTGTGATGTCCTCAGCTCCTAGCTGTTTTCATATTTACATTTACATTATTCTGATCCACAGTGAAAGGTTGCTGGTGAAATTATGTTTGGATTTGTGCCAACAAAACTACGCAAGTCTACCAGCTTGCTTGCAGTGAGGCTTCTGAATTTATTTTTTCCCAGAATTTAGACAAAAGTAGCTATGTTGGAAAATGTTTCATTTAATCTGCTTTCCAGCAGGTCTATTTTGGTCAAAAGTTTGTAATTTGGTTTTAGGTTTACTACAACTAACTCTTAAAGGGACAATCTCACTACTCCGTTTTCTGCCATTTAGGAGTTAATTCACTCTTATACAGCTCTAGTCATACCTCCTTGCATGTGACTTGCACAGCCTTTCTAAACACATCCTGTAAAGAAAGATCTAATATCTAAACTTTCTTTATTGCACATTCTGTTTAATTTAGAATTTCTCATCTCCTGCTGTGTTAAGTCTTCTAGACCCCTAGGGCTGCATTAACAAAAACAAAAGTAATTTAACTCATAAATGGCAGAATTGAGCAGTGAGACTGCAGGGGCATGAGCTATACACCAAAACTACTTCATTAACCCCTTAAGGACCAAACTTCTGGAATAAACAGGAATCATGACATGTCACACATGTCGTGTGTCCTTAAGGGGTTAATCTAAAGTTGTTTTGATGCCTATGGTATTCCTTTAAGTAAATAAACTCTTATTTGATTCCTAAAAAGTGTACCTACAATGTTAATGGGACACTACAGGCACCCAGACTACTACTTATCATTGAAGTGATCTGTGTCAGTATCTTTTTCACCCTTGGCCCTTCAATGTAAAACATTGCAGTTTTATAGAAATTGTAATGCTTACATTGTAGTGCTAAGACTGCCTCCGCTAACTGTCTACCAAACAGCCTCTAGAGGCACTTCCTGCTCTTTCACAGAGTTTAACTCCGTGAAACGATGCTGGACATCCTCATGCTCGGCATGAGGAAATCCAGCGGCTTTAAAATTCCCATTGGAAAGCAGTGATTCAGTGCTTTCCAATGGGGAAGGACTAATGTCAAACGCTGGTGTCACCTCACATGCTCATTAGGTTTCTAACACTAAAGTGTTCCTTAAAAGGGAATATCAAACCACTTTAAGCATACATGCATCTATGCACAGGTGGAAGTGAAGTGAGAACCTTTTCATTCTGCCTTTTTTCATTCTAGGTATTCAGCCATAGCAACTTCCAAAACAATTACTGGAACATAAAAAACAGAGCACAGCATGCGTTATAGGTGAAATGATTTGCATACCGGCCTGCTCCTGCATAATATACACACCCCATATTATCTAGATGTGGTTAGTGCGGTCTCATAGAACAACATACAAACAACATAAAAGCATTATTGAAAACATTATAGTATAACAAGGGAATGTACCTCATAAGTATAGATAGTAAGGATACTATTGATACTTTTTGTGCACCATCACGTTCTCCGTGAATGAATCGGAGTGTTGCAGTTGTGTTATATAGACTTTACTCCAAGCACCATAACTACTGTGGTTTTTAAAGTGCCCATGGTACTTGTGTTTGTACGTGCGTTTCAATATGAGACATACAGGTAGAGATATTCTATACTGCTGCCGGAGGTCTAACTCCACCTCCAGTAATGTCATTAGAACATCATTATCCAGCCAGACCCTAATGTCAATTTTGTGAACATTTCTATATCAGGAGGCTCGTTCACCAATTAATAACTGATCAGATTGAATTCCGGCTACTGCAGCTCTGCACATGTTGGATGCATGTCACTCCTCTTCAAACCGCCAAAACCCATTCACACCAAAATGTAGAAATAATTAGGGGAACAAATAATCATCAGGATCGATCCAGAAAGTCTGACCCAACTACAGCAAGAATTTACAAGGGGGGGACTGATTATTTTCAGATTTACTCAGTAGGTTACAGCACTAGAAAGTGTAAAATACAAATGTTTAAAATAAATCTAGTTATGTAAAATTGCAATGTCAATTACATGTCAAGCAACTGCTTCAAGACAAATTAATAGGTCATCGATGTAAGAATTAAATAAATAAATTGAAGAAAAAGAGTAGGGCAAAGTAATTGCATATTTATTTTACATGTCCTGCAACGGTCATGTGCAACCCATTGCAAACATGCAAGATATTGTATTTTGAGAACAGTGTTTCCTAGTAATGTGCTTCTCAGACCAGATTTTTTCACTGTATTTTTTGGAGCCAAAGATCCCCCAAGGTGAGAAAGAAGGTGTACTTGCCTGACGTTTTCTCTCTTTGGTGCTTCCATCTTCCAGTTCAGTTCACCTTGAACTCATGGCAGATACAGCCGGGAACCCAGTCACTAGAGTGCACGAATGAGAGTGCATAATGAGGATCGATGCAATAGATTCCAAGATCCTCCAAAGATCATGTCACTTCAGCACTGTGCAGCATTTCAGTATGTAAGGAGGCTATTGTGAATTCTGTGACTATTTCTGAGGACAAAAGCTCATTCACTGGCGGCTCAGTTGCCATTGTTTGAGGCTTGCCTGGCGGGGTCAAGGTATGCGGCTAATCATTGCAAAACAGTTAGCGTCATTACTGTGGAATGCCGCTATCGTACTCATAGCATCATAACCACTACAGTAGTCTGTAGTGGCTATAATGGTGGAAGTAACCCTTTGCGATGAACAATTTTTCAAAGTTATTTAATAAAGTGAGAATTCAAAGTGAGTTTCAAATGTAAGGTCGAAATAACCTAAATAGAAAAATTCTCCAAGTAAGCAAAGATTTCTGTTCTGCCACTCTGGCCTGAAGTTACAATTGTACTATGAATAGTCACTCATGTTGGTGGATAATCCTGTTGGTGTTTTTTATTGTCCTTTGAAGTACATTTGAAACAGTAGAGATACTTTGTAAGGAACCTGACACTAGGTGGCGCTCTATTACTCTGCATATTACGATGCGTCTTCCACTCCAACTCTGATGTAGTTATATATCCTCCGAGCACTAGGTGGCGAACTGTAACTTTGGCAGAGTCGCGACTGTGAGCGACGCTCTCTTCTAGTGAAATCTCGAGTGCCCTGGGAGGGTGACATTGGTCGGCGCGCTATCCTCAGCTCCGTCTTGTTTGTTTCCGGCTCAGTAGGTCATTTTACCACCTTCACCAGGGCAGACCTTTCTCGGTTAGAGGCGGCACACCGGTACTCAGCATGGCCCAGGCAGCCCAGAGACTGGTCAAAGCTGTGACCACAAAGACTCCAAAGCTCGTAGGCGGTAAGTTTTATAGGGACAGGGTTTATATAGCAGCATGGTACAGGGATAATACAGGGAGGGCCAGACAGGACAGCAATAATGGGGATAATACAGGGAGGGCCAGACAGGACAGCAATAATGGGGATAATACAGGGAGAGTCTGACAGGACAGCAATAATGGGGATAATACAGGGAGGGCCAGACAGGACAGCAATAATGGGGATAATACAGGGAGGGCCAGACAGGACAGCAATAATGGGGATAATACAGGGAGGGCCAGACAGGACAGCAATAATGGGGATAATACAGGGAGGGCCAGACAGGACAGCAATAATGGGGATAATACAGGGAGGGCCAGACAGGACAGCAATAATGGGGATAATACAGGGAGGGCCAGACAGGACAGCAATAATGGGGATAATACAGGGAGGGCCAAGCAGACAGCAATAATTGGGATAATACAGGGAGGGTCTGACAGGACAGCAATAATGGGGATAATACAGGGAGAGTCTGACAGGACAGCTCAGGAACTCACACTGCAATAATGAGTATAGTTTAAGGAGGGAATGACAGGACAGCTCAGGGACTCACACTGCAATAATGGGGATAATACAGGGAGGGCCTGGCAGGACAGCTCAGGGACACACAAAGTAATAATGGGGATAATACAGGGAGGGCCTGGCAGGACAGCTCAGGGACACACACAGCAATAATGGGAATAATACAGGGAGGACCTGACCGGACAGCTCAGGGACTCACACTGCAATAATGGGGATAATACAGGGAGAGTCTGACAGGACAGCTCAGACACACACACTGCAATAATGAGTATAATTTAAGGAGGGCCTGACAGGACAGCTCAGGGACTCACACTGCTATAATGGGGATAATACATGGAGGGCCTGGCAGGACAGCTCACGGACACACACACCGCAATAATGGGGATAATACAGGGAGGGCCTGGCAGGACAGCTCTGGGACACATTAATGGGGATAATACAAGGAGGGCCTGTTAGGACAGCTCAGGGACTCACATTGCAATAATGGGGATAATTCAGGGAGGGCCTGACAGGACAGCAATAATGGGGATAAAACAGGGAGGGTCTGACAGGACAGCTCAGGGACACACACACAGCAATAATTGGGATAATACAGGGAGGGTCTGACAGGACAGCAATAATGGGGATCATACAGGGAGGGCTAGACAGGACAGCAATAATGGGGATAATACAGGGAGAGTCTGACAGGACAGCTCAGGAACTCACACTGCAATAATGAGTATAGTTTAAGGAGAGCCTGACAGGACAGCTCAGGGACTCACACAGCAATAATGGGGATAATACAGGGAGGGAATGACAGGACAGCTCAGGGACTCACACTGCAATAATGGGGATAATACAGGGAGGGCCTGGCAGGACAGCTCAGGGACACACAAAGCAATAATGGGGATAATACAGGGAGGGCCTGGCAGGACAGCTCAGGGACACACACAGCAATAATGGGAATAATACAGGGAGGACCTGACAGGACAGCTCATGGACTCACACTGCAATAATGGGGATAATACAGGGAGGGACTGGCAGGACAGCTCAGGGACACACACAGCAATAATGGGGATAATACAGGGAGGGCCTGGCAGGACAGCTCAGGGACACACACAGCAATAATGGGAATAATACAGGGAGGACCTGACAGGACAGCTCATGGACTCACACTGCAATAATGGGGATAATACAGGGAGGGCCTGGCAGGACAGCTCAGACACACACACTGCAATAATGAGTATAATTTAAGGAGGGCCTGACAGGACAGCTCAGGGACTCACACTGCTATAATGGGGATAATACATGGAGGGCCTGGCAGAACAGCTCACGGACACACACACACCGCAATAATGGGGATAATAGAGGGAGGGCCTGGCAGGACAGCTCTGGGACACATTAATGGGGATAATACACGGAGGGCCTGTTAGGACAGCTCAGGGACTCACATTGCAATAATGGGGATAATTCAGGGAGGGCCTGAAAGGACAGCAGTAATGGGGATAAAACAGGGAGGGTCTGACAGGACAGCTCAGGGACACACACACAGCAATAATTGGGATAATACAGGGAGGGTCTGACAGGACAGCAATAATGGGGATCATACAGGGAGGGCCAGACAGGACAGCAATAATTGGGATAATACAGGGAGGGTCTGACAGGACAGCAATAATGGGGATCGTACAGGGAGGGCCAGACAGGACAGCAATAATGGGGATAATACAGGGAGAGTCTGACAGGACAGCTCAGGAACTCACACTGCAATAATGAGTATAGTTTAAGGAGGGCCTGACAGGACAGCTCAGGGACTCACACAGCAATAATGGGGATAATACAGGGAGGGAATGACAGGACAGCTCAGGGACTCACACTGCAATAATGGGGATAATACAGGGAGGGCCTGGCAGGACAGCTCAGGGACACACAAAGTAATAATGGGGATAATACAGGGAGGGCCTGGCAGGACAGCTCAGGGACACACACAGCAATAATGGGAATAATACAGGGAGGGCCTGACAGGACAGCTCATGGACTCACACTGCAATAATGGGGATAATACAGGGAGGGCCTGGCAGGACAGCTCAGACACACACACTGCAATAATTAGTATAATTTAAGGAGGGCCTGACAGGACAGCTCAGGGACTCACACTGCTATAATGGGGATAATACATGGAGGGCCTGGCAGGACAGCTCACGGGGACACACACCGCAATAATGGGGATAATACAGGGAGGGCCTGGCAGGACAGCTCTGGGACACATTAATGGGGATAATACAAGGAGGGCCTGTTAGGACAGCTCAGGGACTCACACTGCAATAATGGGGATAATTCAGGGAGGGCCTGACAGGACAGCTCAGGGACACACACAGCAATAATGGGGATAATACAGGGAGGGCCTGACAGGACAGCTCAGGGACACACACTGCCATAATGGGGATAATACAGGGAGGGCCTGACAGGACAGCTCAGGGACACAAACTGGATTAGTAAGACTAATACAGTGAGGGCTTGATGGGAGCTCTCTAGGACTCGCATTGGAATAATTAAGGTAATGCAGTGAGGGTCAGATAGGACAGCCAGGGAGACACTGGAATCATGAACGTAATCCTTTTATTATTTATTTATTTGAATTGCAGCTGAATGGGAACATACCTCTATTTTAATGCATAAAAAAAAAAAAGGATACATTTAAAGTTCAATGCAGATGTGCAGTTTAGTTGGTCTATTCTTTGAGGATAAACTACTTATACCATAAACCTCTCCGTGGGTCCGCAGGAGTTTATGGGATAAGTAGTTTATCCTCAAAGAACAGGTTTACTCATCTTTTAGGATTAGTGATACTGCCCTGCAAATTTAAAGCGGCCACACCACAGCTACTATCAGTTTGCACACAGTGCAATTCAAGTTCTGTGCATTGATTCTGAGCCACAGACTGTACTGCCTTGTGAAGAAAGAGAGCTCCGTTTGTATTGTGCACAACTTTGACAAAATTTGCATTTCCGCTGCCTGACTGACAGCTCAGAGCTTAGGGAATGACAGGACATTGTCATTCCTGTCATAGAGGGCAGGGATGTCCAGGTGCCTTTTTTTACAAAATGTGGGTCTCTGGCACTTTTGCCTCCCAGTTTTTGTCCCTCTCTGCTATATAAGGAATGATTAGTTGGATAGTCGAATGGCACTCTCAGCTTGTCACTGACCATTGCCAAAGAGTTTAACCCCTGAAGGTTAGAGGGTGCCCAGATCATTTAAGTTGGCTTAAGTTGTTATGAGGTTGGGTGCATTCCCTTAATGTGTTATACAAATATATCTTTAAAAAAAAAAAGTAGATACTCTCATCGTCGGCTGTAAATTCCCAGAGTCTGCAGGCACCAGAAGGTGACAGTCTTCCGCCAAGATATATGGATAATAACCTTCACAGTAAAGTACCTTTGGAGTTTTTTTGGGGGAATCTAATTTTCGTTTGAAAGGTTCTCGGTCATTCTCTTACATTTGTAATCATGTCTCCTGTTTTGCAGCTGCTGTTGCCTACTCAAAGCCTCGCCTTTCCACATTCTGGCATTATGCACGTGTTGAGCTTGTCCCACCAAGTCCAGCAGAGATTCCAAAAGCCATCGAAAGCATCAAGGGATTAGTAAAATCTTTCCAGAGTGGACGTCTATCTCAGCTCACAGTCAGGGTAAGTAACTGTTGCTTAAATAGATCTAATTGTATGTGTATTTTCGTATACATTGAAGATTGTTTTTTTTTGAGGTTGGTAAATATAGCAGCAGTGAGAAACTGAGCCAAAGAATACATTGGTAAAGCATTTACCATATTTAATGCAAAGTAAGGTACACTGTTGATATTAGGCAGGAGGCGGGCTAAAGGAACATTGCAAATTATTTCACAAATAACTGACGGTTGTGTATAAATATTGGCAACAATTGCTTAATTTGGATGTGTTTTTACTTTTGCAGCTGTATGGTATGTATACAGTTGTCTCAATGGACTTGAAATGTGAGACTTTATTGATTCTCACATTTGCTATTTGTTCCTACGTTACAGAGAAAGCAAAATTTAGAATGTAAGAATCTGTCGTTCGATAGCATGCCTGCTTTACATATAATCTCACAATATAAATAACTTTTTTTCCTATTTTGGTGCTGTGAGCACACAGGAATGAGTTCCTGATTAGAATATTAATGCATACAATTAGCTAGTATTTAAGTGCAGGCACTAATTGTATTGTAACTGCCAAATGTTCTCAATGAAACTTTATATGTGTTTAATTTTAAACTTTTCAAATAATTTTGTTTCTTACAGGATGCCCTGAGAAATGGTGTAGTAGCTACTGAGGTCCTTATGTGGTTTTACATTGGAGAGTGCATTGGAAAAGGAAGCCTTATTGGGTACAATGTCTAAGAACTTTCATAATTTCTCCTTCATTAAACATTGGCTTTTGTGACCTGTAACTTTTACATCCTGGACTTAATAAATGCAAGAGTGAGAGAAACACTCTGCCTAATATTGATTTTTGTCTTTTTTTTTTTTATTATTTCTTTTTTTTTTTTCCTCCCCCACTTCCCTTATTCCGTCACTTTCATAGAATGCAAAACCATATCCATTCACTACCACATTGGTAATAAATGCATCAAAATATTTTGGTACGCTATTTATTTAAAAGATGCCGCTTCCTCGTCTGTGTGAGGTATCTCAAGAAATAACAGCTTTGTCATTGCTTCATCAAAGCCACTGGAATCTTCTGAAGTACTTCCCAAAGAGATTAATGTGTTTGATTATTCCGTATTGTAAATGTTTAGAATGCTGTGTGGTTGCACTAGCATGAATTTTTTTCTTTACTTGTTTAATGATTGATTGCATCTCCAGTGCCTATTCTGTTTTCCTCTTCAGTTTAAATGATGCTGAGTAGATAGAAATTCGTTGCAGCAATTCTTCCTGCCTGATCAGACACACTGTTATTAAATCCAAATAGTCTGTTAGCCAAAGGACCCATAGCATATTCTAACAGTTCTGTCCATTCTTCTAAGATAAGACCTCCTTTTTTTGCTCTATTTTTTCCCCTCATAAACCAATGTGTAAAGGTGTTAAAGTCATCAGTTGGCATACTTCCCCAGCATTTCTGGAAATTTTCTTTGTCTGTGATTGACATAGTCCTTGTCTGTCTAGAGAAGCTAGTAGGCATTTCTCTTACATTAAAATGTTCAGTTGTTATTATAGGGGCTTGTGGGACACAATTTACAATTGGCACATTTCCCTTGTGTTTTGTTCCCAGCACTGGTTCTTTACTTTCAGATATAAAATAAGACTGGTCTGGGCATACTCTAGGAATCTCCTTATCCCATTTATTTTTGTTTTCTTTAATTTTAATTTTATATTCCATGACTAGGTCTTGGAGTTCAGTGATCTTAGCACTATATGCATCTCTCTGTTGTTCTATTTCTCTTAACTCCTTTTCTAGTTCCCCAACAATTGTAGTTGTTCTCAAAGCTGCAATTTTTAAACAATCCCTTTTGTCCATTGCTTCCTCCATTTTATTTGTTGTTTCCAAATTATGCTGCTGTAATTCTACAACTATGTCTATTAGGCCTCCTATTGTGGCTACAACAGCTCGTGTAACCAAACTTTTTTTTCCTTTTCTTTGTTCTATACTTTTTGTTATTTACAATTTGTGTTACTACATCCATTAATCTCTCCTCTTTTTCACTGTCTGGGTTTGCTGGCTCTGGAAGCTCATATGGACCATCATGTTTTTGAATATGTCTCCTAAAGTACTCACGTACTTCTGTGGAAAAGTATTTGGCCCCTTGAAAAGACATTCCTATTCTTCTACTTACCCAAGTAAGAACCCAATTTAAATCAATTTGCAACTAAAGTAGCATGCTTCTGAATAGCCAGCAATAGTTGATGTCTATTCAGTAGGCCAGGTGTAAATAGAAAAAAAAAACAAACAAAAAAAAAACCTCAATTACCTTCGTCTGCTAAACACAATGGGTGGGGAACACAATATCCACAACTCTACTGTGAAGCTTGACTAAGGATATGCCCTAAACACACGCCCAGTTTTGTTATATGTAGCAAAATAGACTAGTATCCACAATGCAAATTATATTTACCTTAGTATGGTGAAGGTAATACTTGCTAATTAACTTCAAAACCAGTAGTGCCAAAATTAGCATATTAAAATATAATAGCAAGACCTGGAGGGTAGGAGTTATACCTGAACTAGGATATTCAAGACACACACAAAAAAGTATGGAAGCCTATAGTGTATTAAAATGCAGGCCTGAGGGGCGTGGCTTGGCAGCCTACGAAAATGGCCGCATAATCTCTCCCTCCGCATGGGCCCTCATCGCCGGCATCCTCAGTGCTGGAAACTGCATATGACCGAAGTCATACGTGTCAGTAGTATCATCCAATGATAATATGAAGTATAGAGCTAAAGTTATGAACAGCATAGTACACCCAGTTTCCAGCACTGAGGATCTACATTTACAAGCTTGTTTTCACCATGCATCTAAGTGGTTAGAGCAATCTTTTTATAACCAACAACCCCTTGATTCATACTTTAGATTCCTCTATACAATGTTACAATTGTGTTACAATTATGTTCCATTATGTGTTTTCACAACCTTGATGGACTTGTTTATCTTTAACCTGCGTTTCGAGCAGGAACTTTTCTCCAGTCATATTCTACTTCATCTAATTTATCTTTCCAGCATTATACTTCTCTTTACTTCTTTAAAGATTTGTTTATTTATATGACAGTCCGTGCCGGCTTCCCCTGTGACTAGGGGTTAACCGGCTTCGGCATTTGACTCCGCCCCCCCGTTCGTGATTGGTCTTAACATTGACCAATCCTTAAGGAGGGCGGGCTATTTGAATGACGGCCGGCGTCCTGTTCGGTTCCCTCTGAAGAGCCTTTTGGCGAAACGCGCGTCGGGTGTAGTCAGTGAGCGGGTGGTTTGCATTTGACCGGGGACTATGCTGCAGCTAGTTTAGATTTTACAGGACATTCTTAGCAGACCACCCTCTCTTTACTTATTATTTTTTTACTTATATTTTGATTTGTACCTCTGCTTACCTTCTATTGAGGTTTCACTCTGTTTACATTCAGGCAGGCTTTCTAAACCTGAGTGTCATGGGAGTTAGGAGATAGTACTTATTATACTAGGTTTCTCAGCAAGATATACTTTAGACCTCCTTTTACAATAGCTATTACTGGATGTCCTCAAGTACTATTAGGCAATCCCTTTCTCTCTCTTGCTCTGGGTACTACCTAGTCATTCTGCAAGTACTTTCTCCTCTCTTTCCCTTCTTTTATTATTTTTTGTGATACCATCAGTTATTTTCTATTTTTTGAATTTTTAGAAGGAATTTATTAAAAGTTAGTTTTTAATTATTTTCTTTTGGGTTGCACTGCAACTACAGGGAACCTTTGGGACTGACACATATTAACCCCTTGGTTTCTCTGTTTTTGCTTAGTTTCTCTCTTTTCCCTTTGAGATGGACATATATACCACCGCAAGAAACCCCTATCCGAGACCGGCGCTGCCGCAATGCACTCGTCTACAGGCCTACAGGTACCGCCCGCTAGAGGGCATGACTTTCCCCCCTTCTCCCCCCACACTATGCCCCGCACCGGCCTGGCCCTCTCTGGGGCACCCACAGTCCCGCTACAGGACTTGGACACTGTCTCCAGGTACAAACTTGGCCAACCTATCGATTGGACACCCATATTGGCACTCTGCCCCTCCACCCCTCACAACAGCACCCCTTGCCGGGCTGTGCGAACGGTTGCCGAGCCATACTCCACCTACAGCCATGCCCTCAGAAGCTTCACCATGGACATGGGACCCCGATCACCCCGATGGGGTTGGGTGGGTTGGGGGACGTGGCCAAGGGACTGTGGTACCTAGTAGTGCCTGCAAGTGTTGGCACCTACTGCGCTGTGTCTCGTGTGTCACACGCGCCTGCACATGCTGAAATGACCCCTTGCATTGTACTTAACTCGCATATGTGCCAGCGCATGCTAAAATTATCTACGGCATGGTATATCACGCGCATACCCGCACGCACAGGTTGCAACCACCCTTTACGCTACAAACCACTGCATATGCACATACTGAAACTGCCCACTGCAGGGCATATAACATGGCATAGGCGCCCACACATGCTTAAATTGCCTACTGCATTGCATTGACCGCTGTATACGTGCCTGCGCATGCTCAAATTGCTCCTTGGTCGGTATGTAACCGTGCATACACGCCCGCGCATGCTCAAATTGTCCATCGCATTGTATATAACATGGTATGTCTTTCTTAGGAGCTATTATCTGGTCCCTTTATTTGTAGGATTCCTTCTGGACTTGCTCCATTATTATCTTTACTTGCTTTATCTCTGTATAATATGGGGTATACGCCTGTTTATGCTAGAATTGCCTCCTACACATGCTAAACTTGTCTACTATTTATATCACGGGTTATGCACTTGCACAAGTTCAAAATGTCTCTGGGCCGGGGGATTTCTACCCCTCTGACGCCGGTACCTCTGCTCCATTACAGGGGCGGTCCCCTCCGTGCCCACCGCATGGGGATACCCACTACCCAGCTCTGCCCTGCCTGCCCCGGACTGGGCTCTACCTACCTGGGCCCTCACCCGCCCCCACAGACTGGGGCGACTCAGACACTCTGGGGACTTGACGATATGGCTACACTTGCATCCAAATACGCACCAGCCCCACTCAACTTCCTATCCCTAAACGCTAAGGGCTTAAACTCCAACGAAAAGAGGTCACACGCACTACACCTCTGCCAGAAAACTAGAGCCCATGTGGTCTATCTCCAAGAAACCCACTTTAAAACCGACTCTGCTCCGAAACTCTGTAACCACATCTACACCCAAGGCTTCTACAGCAATAACCCGGATGGGAAGTCTAATGGGACAGCAATACTCCTACACAAATCCATACCCTTCGTAGCTGACTCGACCATGATGGATAATTCGGGCAGATATGTATTTGTTAGGGGTAAAATCCTGGACGAAACCTATACTTTTGCCAACATCTATGCCCCAAACACTGCTCAAAATTCGTAAACTTCTCCACCAGTACAGGCTTACGGATTGCTGGAGGGCGACACACCCGATGGCTAGGAACTACACCTTCTATTCGACCCCGAATGACTGTTACACATGCATTGACTACTTTTTCCTTCCATATTACCACCTACCCAGATTGCGTGACTCAGCCATAGGGGGGACAGTGTGGTCAGACCACGCACCACTCACGATTCAACTCACATCGCCACTATGCAAACCCAAAACCACGTCATGGAGGCTCCACGAAAGCCTTCTATCCAACCCGCAGGTGGCCCGAGACGTACAACAAGCCCTGACGAATTACTTCACTGAGAACTTACCGCAGGACACATCCCCCCTCTTGACATGGGAGGCCCACAAGTGTGTGATTAGAGGGATCCTTATCTCACACTCCTCTGCCCTGAAAAAGGCACGAGAACATACGATCCGAGAACTAACTGCCAAGATAGGGACCCTAACACAGGCCCACAAACGAACACTAGACGACACACTTCTTGGGGAACTCACAGCAGCCCATGAAGAACTAGCATGGGTCCTGCGGCATTCGTACACTAGGGCCCTCCAGCTCACTAAATCCTTTTTCTACACAGAAGGAGACGGGTGCAGCAGGTTGCTGGCCAGAATGATCAATAAAAAACGCTCCATGACATACATTGCACGCATGCGTGATGCCGCAGG